GGAGCCTGGACTTCACGGAGGTGGATCCGCTGGATCCCAGGCTCGCGGAGGAGATCGCGGGAGACGGGCTCGATGCTTTCACCACCCTGTACCAGGCTCTGTCTCCATTTACCGCGGACGACCCTGCGAATGGAGAGGTAAAGCCGGTTACACCGCGCTGCGCGCCCCGCTTAGCGGAGGAGGAGGTCCTGTGCTTCCCTAGGACTCCATCCATCCTCCTTCCAAAACATTCAAAGGCTGCCCAAAACAGTTCTTGTCATCTGTGCCCGAACCTGTTGGAGGGAAGCTGCTCCCACATTTTAAAAGTCTATTTATAATACGTTATATATTTTATATAATATTATGCATGCTAACTGTGTTTACATCTGTATTATATATAGGAGTTTGGTTGCCGTGGCAACTGTTAAAATGTTAATCGTGGCTACTGGGAGCGAGCTATGGTATTGCTTAGCCTCTCGCTATTTCCTCTGTATTTTCCCTCAGAATGTCTGGACCTTCTTCACTGAAAACAGTTTCTCTCCCAACGCTCTCGTGGCTGTGTTGCACCACTTCGTCCAAGCGGGCCAGCACAAAAGAGCTAACGCAGAGCAGAGGGTTCACGCTCTTCGTGCGGCTGGGTTGTACTTCTTACTGCTGGAAATCCCAGGTGGGTGAAGGCATGTGTCTCTCTGCTGCTGGGTAAAACAGCCTTCACGCAAAATCAGGCTTCTCTTGTTTATGAGAATTCCAGACGGGACAAGTGGTGGGGTTTGAGCTGTTGGCTTGATGTGCCGGGGATCCGTGGGGGTTGCTCTCAGCTGTGGTGTGGAGTGCTAAACAGCTGTTACGGGCTGATAGCAGCTTGGTCTCCTGTCATAAAGCACCTCGGTGGTCTCGGTCCCAGCCTGCATCGCCTTCGCTCTGCGACAGAGTTGACAGAGGAGTCTGACTGTACGCAGAGCTGAAATCACGCGTATTCCTCTGGGTTAACGATAATACACAGCGAAGGCAGGAGCTTATTCCAGTTCCTGCGCTGTAACTAGAGACAATTGGACTGTGCAGTGCTTTTGGACAGGTTCATTTGTGAAAATAAAAGTATCTGTTTACAATAACCAGCAGCTGGCGTTTTCTAGCAGGTAGGTTCACCGCAGTATCTTTGGGTATTCACGGGTAATGCGTACTCGAAGGTTTTGCTGATCTTTGTGCTGCATGTTACCAGCTAGAAGGAGTGATCCTACTGGAGAATGTCATCCTGGTGCAGTTTGGCTTTGTTCAAACAAATCCTATTTCCTTCTGCCAAACTCTCTTAGCCTCCCGGAACGTTGCCTTTGTCCTGGCTATCTATTTGGCTGTCAAAGCAAATGGAGAGGTGGCCAGGTGATTTGATGCTCCCCGTGTTTTGCCTGGAAAATGATGGATGTTGTCTTTTCTCGGCAGGCAGCGTAGTTAACCAGCTGTTCCATCAAGTGATGTTTGATAAATGTCTTTACGCCCTGGCAAAATGTTGGCCTCAGGAATCAGATGCGATGAGGAAAAGAAAGAAGACGCATGCTCAGAGCTCTCAGCCCAACGCAAGGAGAAATAGAAAGAAGGGAAAACCGGGCAGGAACAGCAATGTAAGATGTTTTTGTAATCTCTTCAGGTGTACATCTCTATTAATAAGCAAATTCACTTCTAGGTCAGTGTGATACTCTTCCTCTTTATCACCCCTTTTTTAAATTCTTAATCTTTTAATCAGCAGCTCAGCTCTGGTTCTTGATCCTCTACCTATTACTAGGAATTTCAGAGGGCTGATGATTCAACATCAGCTGCAGTTTCCTGGCTGCTGACTAATAGAAAAAATACAGCTTATTTGTCCATGGCATATTGCTAGAAAGCTCAGTAGCAGAGGGAGAAACCAATTTATATCAGCTTCCAGTTAGTATGTGACAAGCTTGCAAATGGCATTTGAGTTTCCTTGCCAACTTCCTGATGGGAAGTTAAGGGCTAAATGCATTGGTTAGCTGCACTCAGCTGCAAGTGATATGTCTGGGGGGTTTAGCAGAACTGAGCACCAGCAGCTGCGAAAACACCGGTGCGGCAGGGTCACGGCAAGCAAGGGAGGGAGATGGTAGGCACAATGGTGGTGAGTCACTCGGGGTGAATCCCCAAGTGTCAGACCAGCATTCAGGTAATTAAGTGCCTTCAGTTCTGATGGGCTTTCTCCTTCAAAACTAGAACAGGTTGTGCTGGAGCTTCTTCCTGTCTGGTTTTTGGTTGTTGGCTGTTTTGTTGGGTTGTTTTGAGGTTTTTTCCCCACTTGTGCGTTAACTAATCTGAATGGAAAGGTTTAGAATTCTGGATGTACAGTTGTGTAGCACCTAGCCTGAGAACTCTGCAGCTCTGAAGTGTTCAAAAGGGATCAGCCAGTGCTGCAGGAGAGGATGGTGCTCTTTCTCTTTTCTACCAACATAGATGGAAGAGATACTGCAAGAGGAGGAGGAGGAGGAGGAAGAGGATTGTGAAAATGTTTACTTTTCAAATGATGATCTTCTTCAAGTTCGCAACTCAGTCTTCCTTCTTCTGAAAAACTTCCTAAGACTTCTATCTACGTTCTCCCTAAAAGGGAAACCTCAATGTGTGCAGAACTGCCTGCAGGTAATACGATTCAGCTTAAGGAACCCTAACACAAACATTTGGTGGGTGCAGAGCACACCGTAGCCACGGGAGTGATGTCAGGCCCTGCCCCTTCATAGACTGGTCCTCTGGTTAGGCTCTCCTCCGTGTAGATCTTGGAGTGGGGTGCGTGCTCCGTGGCTGTCTCTCAGCTTAGCAGTTGCTGGCTCATGGCTGCCGTATGTGGAGGGAAGAGACACGTGGCATTGGCATGGAGGGAGGTGCTGTGGTTCCAAAGTTAGGCTCCAGTGCTCTCTGCTCTGCCCCCCGAGAGCATCCAGGCGGACCTGCACATCTTCCCCTCACGTGGATTGGCTAAGCTTGCCTTTCTTTCCCTTGCAGGTTTTAGTCAAAATGACAAACTTTGAGCCAGCGGTACACGAGTTCAAGTTTTCAGCAGCGATGTGAGCAAATGATTCTTAATGCTTATACGGTGCTTTGAACAAGTAAAGTGCTCGGTGCTTGTGCTTTTGGTGTTACCCTGTTTATACAGAAACAAAAGTGGTGATTTCTTTCCCTGGAGATAATTAGAATGCGTTCCACCTAGCTAACAGTAAACAACTTTTTTCCAGTCAGTGAGCACCTTTAGTTGTAATAGTTGTTGTAAATGTTTCCCTGATGAGAGATGAAGACATCCCTTTGCCTTCTTTTGCTTAGGAATGTTAACGAAGCCAAGTGCATTCCTGAGCTGGCCTATCACGGACTGCGATTACTGTGTTCCCCTCTACATGGTACGGAAGATAAGGTAAAAGTTGGTGAAATCTTTAAATCCTCCCGACGAGAAAAAGCAGTAGTTGTGTCTTTCCTTCTCCACGTGTCATTTTTGCTTGCATTTTTTCACTTTTTACATCAGTTTTACCTTTTGTGCCTGTGTTAGCTGGGTCAGAGGCAAGATGCTTTCTTCCACCCTTATCTCCTTCGACTTACACGATGATGCATTTCGTGACCATTGAATTCTGTGCTCTGGCAAATGAATTGGCAACAGCGAAAGACCTACAGTGGTGTTAGATCTCTGGATCTTAAAGAGAATTCCAGGTTACCGCGTTTGTTTCCTGCTAGGTGGAGCTCCAGCACCGCTTGGTAGCGTGAGGTGGGGTTGGGTTGTGCAGCAGCAAAGCATGCTGGGGAAGCGTTATGCGCAGAGGATGATAAGCAGGGCTGATTCTTATTCAGAGAATAGTCTGCCACCACAGAATATCCAGTCCTGCCAGAAATGCGTCTGCTGCTTTACATTTTTATTCTGTTAAAATTGTCAAGCACATTGTGTCATCCCCCACTTACCTGTGTGCTGCTCCTGTGGATGTTGGTTTGATCTTTGTGTGGGACTCTGCTGCTGTGATTGCCAGTCTCTGTAAGCCCACCTGAGCTGGTTCTGAGCCAACAAGCCAGGGTATTAGCAGTCATCCAGTCAGGAAATCTTGGAGTTTAGTACACGTGAGCCTGGCATACACCTGAGTGTCTGCCCAGCTTTTCTGCCCCAGACCTGTGAGTTTCAACCTCCTTGGTTTCTTGGTGCAGCACAAGCTTTTCAGAATTGTTGACGTTTGTGATATTGTCGAGCTGTAGTAGCTCCCCTCCTCAGGCCTGCCTCATCTTCCCTGCCTCTCCTTGGCCACTCAGCAAATGTGAGGATAATGAGGCATGCTGGGATCCCAAAAGCGTGGTAGGGAACTCCAAAGGTTCAAGTGCACGTGGTGGTAAAAACATGCATGTAGTCTAAGATGTCTTCTGTGCAAAACCTAATGAATTTCCTCAAATTCCAAATGCTTCTGGTGAATTGAAGTCTGTTGCTTTGAAGGGGATCTGTTGATGTTGTCAGGAAGCCCTTTGTAGGCCTCACTGGACTGGTGTGGGAATGTGACAGCCTGGAAAGATGTTGTGTGTGCTAAAAACCAGGTCCTCTTGCAATTATTCTGCCAGGAGTCCTATTTTGACAGGTGCTGTTACTTACATCTAAGTTTGTTTGTTTCAGAATTACGTGATAAACCTGGTCAGAGTGTTTATCCCTGGCCCTGCTGAAACGAACCTGAAAATACCCTTTTTCTTTCCAGATTCTTCGTTGTGTCTTCCAGCGGATCCTCAGCGTCATTCTGATGCTGGAAGGCGGTGCGGGTTCCAGGCGCGCAGTCCTTCCGATCACAGCGGCGGTGATCGGTGCCAGGAATCAGGCGATAAAATTCATCAGGTGAAGTACAGGGACCTTGGCACTTCCCTTCCCGGGTGTGCCCGCTCTTTCTTCTGGCATGCCTCTGCTTTCCTGTTCAGTTGATGAAGGGATGAGACAGGCTGGCACTGACTTGGAAGTTGTTTGTGCAAATGAGGTTTAATTAAAATGGGAATTAATGGGAATTTACTGAACTCGCTGGCGGAGGGGGAAGAAGATGCTGTTTGACAGAGAAGTGGCAGGGACCTACCTTCTGTATTTTGCTTTTTGCCAGGTTTTCAGGCCCTATGCTTTACTACAAAGTGTTGTAAAGAAGAGAAAAGATGAATAGAGAGTTCATTTCTCCTTAGTCCTTTGCTTTCTCCTGCTTAAAGGTATATTTGGCCCGTGTTTGTTTTTCCCCTTGTGTGGGGATCCATGTGGTTGCAAAGCGTAGCTTGTGCAGAGATTCCCAGACAACACGTAGTAAGTAGATTGAGAATAACGCAGCTTTTCACGTTGTCCTTCTGCTTGTAGAAAGGTATTGGAAGAATTACTTTGTGCAATTAAGCCAGGTTAAAGTAGAAAGTAAGTAGGTCTGCTCTCCGAGTCTCTCCCGGTGCTCGTGATTGCAGGACGCACACCTTTCCTGACTTGAAATGCGTTCCAGAAAGGATGTCCTTGACTTGATTTCTGCTCTGCTATAAACCCAGCCCTATTAAAATCTCCTTGTTTCTTCGTGCAGTTCTGTGGTAGATGAGCTGAAAGAAGCTGTCTTTCCTGTTCTTCGAATACTACTGCAACATATCTGTACCGAGGTATGCGAAGCTTTGCTGCGTCTTGAGCTGAAGAATTCCGTGTGGATACATTGCAGTATCTAATAGTTGGGGAATCCGATTTCGCAATGTTTTGTAAGAAATTAAAAGATTTTCATTGTTTGCAGGTTTCTTGACAGCCCGATAGTGGGTTTTTTTTCCCATTTGCAATTGATTTTGTACCCTACTTGTGACCTTTCCAAAACGTGGAGTTGGTTTTACCCCTGTTTTGGTAGAGGAAAATGAGGGTTATGCGAGTTCTTTGCCTAGCTGACTGTCTGAAGGCTGCCGTGTAGAAATACCTCCTCTGGGTTTAATCCAAGCTCCGCCTTGCCTGTGAGCAATTGGCTGTGTGGTTGTGAGCGAGTGCTGAAGGTGTGACCAAGGCAGCTGTGACCGTTCTCCCAGTCCGTGAATGTAACCCGTATCACCTCATTAAATAAAAAAATGCTTAAGCCTTGAAATACCATTCTGGCTTCTAGAGCAGAGCATCCAAGTATGATACCATGGAATTGCCCTTGTTTTTCAGGTCCCGGATAAGAGTGATTATCGCACGTACGCCGCGCAGGCCTTGGTGAATCTGCTGAGTAAACTCCCTTGTACAGAGTTTGCCGACTTCCTCGCTTGGCTTTACAAGTACTCATGCAACACTAAAGTAAGGACATCTCCTCCATGCTCCAGGGCTGGGATACAGCAGTATTTTGAAGTGTTCAGTATCAGTACTGGCTGGCATTGCTGTTACCTAAAACGGAGCAGACGCTGCCTGTGTCTTCGCTCACGCTAACGGAGCGCCTTACGTGCTTTTTCTTCCGAACAGATTGCCTACAGGGTGTTTGCTCTTGACGTGGCCTTAGCTTTGTTGGATGTGCCCGAGAGGAACTTGGACAGCTCCTTGTCCCTGGATCATCAGAAGTTTCTAAAGCATAAGTTTTTAGTCCAGGTCATGGTGTTTGGCCGGTGTTGGGACAAAGCACCCGTGGTGCGTAGCAAAGCTTTAAGCAGCTTTGCCCACTGTCTGGAAATGAAAGCTGCCGCTACCTCGGAGATTATACAAAGCTGTACGTATTTTGGGTAAATTAGGTAGCAATAATATTTCTTGAACTTTCTGACAGGGAGATAGAAGAACTAATCAGGAACTTAAAAATCTGCACTGAGCATCCTTGTGTATTGTGTCATAACGAGACGTTGTAGATGAGTCTCATTAATCACGAAGCCTTATATTTGGAAGGGATTTATTCTCATATATCAGTTCTAAATAGACTCCCCCATGAGATACCTTTCAAGGATATTTACAGGTGACTGAAATTGCTCATTGAAAACCACGAGGAGAAAAAAAAAAAGGTGATTCTTGCCTGACAGTTGATTAAATCTTGAGTTGGCTTTTGCTTCTGCTACGTTGTTCTGTTCGTGATTGGCATTCTGAACTCCCTCAGGTGTGGTAAAGGCCAGATGGCGCAATTCAGATGTGTGCACGTAGCATCCTACGGTTAGATTACTTGCCTAAAAAAATTGCCAATGACAGACTATCCGGAATGAAAATACTTCATTTAATCTCTTTTTCTATTTCTTTTTGGCAGCCTCCGATCATAACGTCTTGGGAGCAAGCACAAACAGTACAAGTTTGATAGTCAGTGCAGAAGGTATAGAGTCATTCCTTCCTAGTAAGTCTCCAGCTTTTCTTGGCATGCCATTTCCTAAAAATACGCCTCTCTGTAAACCTAGGGCATGCCTGAGGCGCTCTGTTTAACAGTGTTTAACAATCTTTAACAATCTTGCTGGGTGAACGTACGCCTTTTCTTGTTTTTAACCATTTTAACTTCCCTTTCAGCTGTGTCCAGCTGTTCACTCAAGACCTTCCCAACTTTCAGGACTATTGAGTTGACCAACAGCAGCAACGCTGGTGTGCTTGACGGTACGTCGAAATACTGCTGGCCCTCTCGGATAATTTTTCAAACCCATAATTGAAATTAGGCTTTCTGAAGTTGTATTCATTGTCCATTTTTCAAAGAAAGTGCAGAGAGCTTTCTGTAGAGCTGTTAAAAAATGCTTAAGGGTGATGAAGGAGGTGGAAGTGCCAGACATAAAGGAATATTCTTTCCATTCGAGTCTGAAAAATACGTTTAATCTCGAAATACTGACGTTCGTTCGTACTAACGTGGTGGTGACACTTGTTAAGAAGCAGGTGACTTGTTCTTTCCAAAAAGGATGGTAACTGACGTGGGATATAATACCTGTAACTCCATAAATTCAAGGGTAATTAAATCTCTGCTCCAGCGTATGAAACTCGTACGTTTTTCCTGCATGAAACACGGCACCTTTGCCTAGCGCTGTTTTGTAAGGCAGGGTTGGCTTCTCTGCGCTCTCAGGTGTTGGCTGGAGTTGAAAGCAAGGCCTGAGGTTGAATGGTCTGATGCAGGACGGCAAGGAGCTAGGTCGAATTTGTTGGTAGCGTGAAATCAGCCTGTAAGTTGGCTTTTGTGGCCACCGTGTTCCTCCTTTGAATCTCTTCCTTTCTTTTCCGTGTGAAAGCATTTCTTCCTTACCTTTAGGCCTCTGCCAGTATCTTTGCTCTCAGTTCTGGCAGTTCACCTGCTGACACTTCGCTACTTGGTTTGCATCCTGCGGTTCTGTCTTTGTTCCGCGTCTCACGCCGCTCTTCACATGGGATCTCTCTCCCTATCTCCATCAGCCAGGCTCCCATCTTCTCCGCTGAAAGCTTGCTTTTAAGCATTTTGCTGATAAATTCCGTTCATCTGCTCTCTCAGAAACATCCTCCGGGCCACTTGAGGTGTTGTGTATTCCCTGTCTCGTTGCAGGCTCCTTGTGGCAGAGGATGCCTGGGTTTGTATCCGATACGCAGCCGGGCAGATGCTTGGCACTTGGCAAAGCAAATTATCAACAGGATTGGATGAAAAGGAGTGTCTGGAGCTCAAGAGGATAGCTGCAATACGGGGCTCTCCGAGGCAGTCAGGGAGCATTAGCAAAGCTGTCTGGCCCACATGTTTGGCTTACGCTTCTGCTAATTTTGCCCTTCTATGAAGTCCAAACAGCTCGTATTTTAGAAGCAAAATAAATCTTAGCTGTGGATAGTCAGAACAAATGCACAAGGGCAGAGATAAGGGCAGGGATAATCTGCGGGGCGAAGTATGCACTGCAGAATTACTGCTGCCCAACAGTGGTAATTTGTTTTCTTTCCCCTCTGGCTTAAACCTCGTTCTCAATTATTTTGGGTGTTTTTTATTGTGCTTTATCTAGTCCTCCTCTCTTGCCCTCTGTCTCAGGCAGCAAATAGTTGCTCAGTTGAGTTCAGTGCCGTGTTCCTCCTGCACAGCGTTGGGTGTGTTTGTGCTGCTGAACGGCAGCGTGGGTAATTTATTTTTACCACGGTTTTGGATAGGAAAAGAAGTCATGGCCATGCTGAGACTGAGAGCCGGAGATGAGAAAACCAACGTAAGGAAATCTGCTCTCCAGGTACGGTGCTTTTCGCACGCTCGCCTGTTCTCAGCGCTTACCCAGAATGCCGTTAAAATGAAGAATTAGACCGTGGTGCTGTACCGAACTGTAGGTAACTTTACCCACCTGTAGCTTCCCGCTCCTCCTGCGGAGTGCCTGCAGGCCTTCAAAAGGTCTTGCTCGCTAATTCCCGGGAAGTAAATAATGCAAGTGTGATGATGGAAAATTTCTCTAGTACTCTTGCTGGCATTCTCTTATTCCGTCATTTGGAAAGAGAGGCTCTTCTCAAATGTCAATAGGCATTTCAATTAAGACACTTCCTTATAAACTGAAGCATATTAGCTGCTTAGTTTGTTTTGACCTTGTTAACAAAGAGATCAGGTTATATCCAGCCTCTTTTTGAGGGATGCGTTGCTTTGCTTATGGCTTGTTTTTTTTTTTAATGAAGTCATTAGCTTTAAAGAGATACGCTTCAGCGATGATTTCGTTGTTTTTTAAAAACTGTAGGCGCCTGCTGTTGACTGCCTTCCTCTGCTAGTTCTCTTCACTCCAGCTCCTCAGGTCACACACTGCTTTGAGCTTCTCAAGGCCTTAAAATTGATATGTTTTGATGCTTTTTGATTTTAAAAAAATTGTAAAAAGCCCCCTCTTCCTAATTACCAGGTAAAAAATAGTTTATCCAAGAGACACGTTATTTTCAAGGGGAAATTGTGATGTTTGCTCTATCCAAACGCTGTTAGAAAATCTGAACGTCTGAAAAGATGTTTTCTCCTTCATCCTACATCCCCAGGTGTGCCCAGTACTCATGAAGGGCTAATGGGATGTTTCCCTCTTGGTGAGATGGGTTCATCGCTGGTTACGGTTGGGAGGGAGCAGGTCATGGTTTAGATTCGCTACCCAACGCGCGTGGCCTGTATTCCCGACAAAGCGGTGCCGGTATTTGACTTCCAGGTTCTTTTGAACATCCTGAAGCACAAGCTGATCCCTTGTACTGCAGAAGATTTGTCTGCTCTTCAAGACCGTTGCCGGGACCCGGCTGTTTCTGTGCGGAAGCAGGCCTTGCAGTCTATAACGGAGCTCCTTGTGGTGAGGAAAACATCCCGTGATTCTTGTGCAGACCTGAGATGAGCCATCTGTGGGTTAAAAGGAGGAAACGGACAAGTCAGTTGTTCATTCAGTGCATTTCATTTTATGACGTGTTTTTTTTTTTTTTTTTTATACTACCTTTTGACTTGGAAGTCATGACTCATCCTTATACATACTTGTGATTTATGTAGGATGCTTCCAACTGTTGGAAACATTTATTTTTCCTGGCTGTTGATTTATGTGTCATGGAGAAAATGTTTATGTTGCTGGCCTTCTCAAGTTTAAAAAAAAAAAAAAACCTGAATCAGTTTCCTAAGATGTAATGTGTAGATGATAGCACTGCAATATTTTTCCTCCTTTTCTATTTATTCGCAAAGGGTTAGTAACTTAAGCTTGGAGCATAGGGTTTATATTAAGCAAAGCTCTCTTTTTTTAGCATTAAATCATCTGCTGTACAGCTTTATGGCGATACTGTTACAATTATTTATAGGGTTTCAAAACAAAAGCATTACAGTACTTTAGCAGAAGCATCAGGTTGCTCGATCATAGATATGATCAAATACCTCCTGGCGTCAAGGAGATAGATACACGCTGCCACGTTGCAGTGCTAGCTGAGCAATATGCTGGGGCTTATTGAAACTTATTTTCAAAGTTAGTAGCTGAATCTGGAGGTTACTGAGCCTTTGCTGACCTTCCCCGTGCATCTAGGATGCTGTAGCGATTTGAAAATGTTCCTAATACGACGTGTGTTTCTCTCAGTCTCAGCACAACAACGTTCTAGTGCAGAAGGCCTGGTTAAATGGAGTGGTGCCTGTTGTGATGGACGCTGAGAGTTCTGTCCAAGAAAAGGCCTTGGATTGCCTCGATCAGCTCTTGTTACAACATATAAAGCATTACAGTAAATACAGGAGCGGAGACGGAAATCAGGCTCTAGTGTGGGATCTCCTTACCCTCTTGACTTCAGAAAGCCAGGAGCTGAAGTAAGTGCGTTCTTCCCTTCGTCGTGGGCTCTGATGGCTTTTTCCTAACAGCCTGTTGTCCGGTGTGTCGGGTGTTTTTACTGCCTTTACTACGTTAGCGTTTAGGGGCAAAATCCAGAATTTGTTTTACTTTTAATCCAGTTAGAACACTCAGCTTTCAACTTTGAAAGAGCGTAAGTGCGTGTTACTGCTGGAGATGGAACCTATTGCGTTGCAAGGTGCTCGCGTTGCTCTGCCAGTTCCTGGGACAGGGGAGCTGCCAAGCACGGACAAGCTGGCAGTTGGCATTCCTTTGTGTCAAGTGTTTCTCCCTTGCTGCTTTTCTTATCTCTGCTGTCTCCCTGGACTCGGGTGTTCACGCACAGGAGTGTTGCATGCTGTTCTTGATGCGGTAATAGCAGCATGAATATTTGAGTCAAATGGAGGTGTTCTGCTGGCAGAAGGAAGAGAGGATATATCAAGGAGAACGTTGCCTTTTATTAATTCTGATGTACAATATGTCGCTTGTCTTACGACACCCAGAATTATTCTGCCTTTTGCAGAATTCTGTGGGAAGAGGCAGAAGAAATGGGATGACACACAGTATGACAAGGACACAACATTGATTAAAGACAGCTGTATGTTTATTAGTCAACAGGGCATAATAGCTCAGAAATAGAATATGAGGTACTGGTGGTGCTGCCTTGCCAATCTCTGAAACTGTCGATGTTCTAATTTGGGCTGTGTTATAACATAGTTTGCAGATTCATGGCACCTTGTTCTTCATGACCTTAGTCTACCCTGCAGCTTGATAAATCTCAGAACTCTCAACGTGAAGTAGGTAACCAGGATTAAATAGAAAAATGAGCAAGTTACGGTGCCTTAGCATTACTGCATCCTGTCCCAGTATGGGTGTTCAATAGCAGCTACTCGAACGTCTTTGTTACAGGTCACTGAAATTCTGTTTTCTTGATTATTCGTGGTATCAGTTGGACCTTCTGTCTTACTGATGCGCCGCACTACGCCCACGCCTGTGTGCCAGGTCTGTAGTCAGGATTGCGAACGGCAAGACTGAAAATATCACTAATAAAATGCCTGGTGGAAATCCTGATGGCTTCTGCACAGTGGGAATGCCAAGCGATAGCGGCTTGGTTGTGTTGCCCAGTGTATCCTGGACAGGGATGTTGGCTTTCACTGCCAATGTCAGACCAAATGTTTTGTTTACTCCTTTTCTTTTCTTTCTTCCTTGTAGCCGTTACTTGAACAAAGCTTTCCACTTGTGGTCCAGACAGAATAAGTTCACCTCCACTTTCATCAGTAATGTCATGTCTCACGTGGATACGGAGCATGCGGCACCGGCTTGGCTGCTGCTTGCTAAGGTGGCGGGTTCCTCACCCAAGCTGGATTATTCCAAGGTCATCGAATCCTGGAACAATGCCAGCAGGTACCTGTGTGCTTTGAACTCTGTTCTGCAGGAAAGAGATGGGCTGAAGAGGAGGAACAAAGCGAGCGAGCGCTTTCTGTCCTCCCTCAGGCAGAACACTGTTCAGCTGTCTGGGTCACAGTTTGTTCAGGCAGGGGGTTCTGCAGCGAGGAGGCAAGTAATGGCCTGCAGATCCGTGCGGTAACCAACTCTTACCTTAAGTTTTTTGAGTTTCCATTTGGTTTGACAGGTCTGCCTTAATAACGGGTATCCCAGAGGAAAGGATTTTTCTCCTGTGATTTGGTGTTGCTCCTTAGCGTTAATGTTAGTTTGTCTGCTCTACCCTTCAGGCGGCAGAACATGAGCGCGGCTACGACAGGACATATCCTGTGTGTCATCAGGCACGTTGCAAAGCACCTCCCGAAAAGCACCTGCGAGAGGCTGATTGGTGAGTAGCCCTGAGACCCTGCAGAGGGGAAGGCAGGGTTCCCGCCTCCCACCTTAGCTGTTACTCCTCCTCCACGAGCAGTTGATGCACTTCGAAAATGCTTGTTTTATGCGTGTGATCTCCTTTTCAGATGACATCAAGTGCTGGTTGAGGGAGTCTCAGTGTCCGTTGGAGGTGATTAGCCCAGCAATAGAAGCTCTGCAGAAGCTCTGCCATGCCGATGTGCCGGAGGAGGCACAGGTCTGACTTAAAATACATCTTTTCAAAGCGCTTCTTTCACACTTAGGAGGGCTCTGTCTTGAAGGCAGCTTCTGCCTCCAGTCTACTGGTCGGTTGCTTCACTAAACAAAGAGGATCTGTCTGTTCTGCTCAGCCCTCTTTGCTGCAGTTGTGCTGGAGACCATCCTGTAGCTAAGGATGGACTTGTAAGAAGTCTCCTTTCTTTGGAAAGTTGGTTTTTTGTTTTTCCCCACCTGAAATACCTTGCATTTACCTTCTATCAAAGTTTACAGAATTCCTAAAGGAGACATGTCACTGTGCCTTTATGGAATCAGCTATTTCTCAGGCTTGGTCTGGTTCGAAGTTCTAGGTGAATACAAGAAGCTGTGATTATTCTACATCACAGCTGTTGTAGATACACGTATTTTCCAAACCTCTTTCTTGGGACCAAACAGGGAGTTAATAGCACATCATTTGGACATTTTTCTAATCCTGTTTGTTTTATGCCAAAGCTTTATTCCCTTTCTGTAACGAGAAGGTGGGCTCTTTTGCTGATAAAATACAAATCTCAGCCTGAGCACGGTCACAAAGAAGCTGAAACAGACGCAGGGCGCTCTCGCTCATGATTTCTCGTTGTGTACGTGCTGTATTTCTCTCTCAGTATTGATGACAGCTAGCTTACGATGGGCATTCCACTGAAGTTTAGTAAGCAGTACACAAAACTGCACACTCTCTGCTTCAGGAGCCAGGGTGGATTGATGGTGTCCCTCTTTTTAAATGGGCAGTCGGAAAATCCCCCTGTGTAGGTGGCGTTGTCACAGTATGTTGGCTTACAGCCAAATGCAGATGTCCCTGTACATTGGTCACTTCAGCAGTTCCAACAGCTTAGCTGCCATACATAGATGGATCCGGTTTCTTATGTCACCAGTTTTAGGTGGCAGAAGAAGAGAAATGATGCTTTTTTTTCATCACAATCTGGTACACGTAGTTTGGCTTTTTTTTTTTCCCTTCCGCCCCTTGGAATTCACATTGTATTTTGATCTGAATGGAATTGTGTTTTCCACACAATTTAGAAATCCATGCGGACAACGTCAAATGTGTTGGATATACATGGAACAGTCACCTAAATCCTTGTTGTTTTCATCTGAGTGATTGCTATAATGAAGTAAACTTAGGCCTGTGGATCATTAAAAGCCACATTCTCCAAGGTGTTTTGACATCCTCAGGTGTGCAGGAAGAATTTTAAAGCTCTAAGGCACTGGCCGGTTTGATTTCAGTAGGACCGAGATTATTAAAAGCATGAAAGGACTTTCAGGTTAGGGATTCGTGTGTGGACAGATATTTTATAGCTACATTTTGTTTAATTAATAGATTGCCAAATTAATTTTGTTTTATTATGGAACAGAAGCTGCTCAACCAGGTGTGTGGAGATTTAGTATCCGCCTGTGAAAGCTATATTTCAAATATAGTCCTCAAAGAGGATGGAGCAGAGCAGATGCAAGAAGATCTTCTGGTAAGTCTGGATCCCCTTCACAGGCTGGTCCAAAGATGCAGTTCTGCCTGAAATTGGTGTTCCCTAAAGTTCACGCCAAGGACCCTTGACGTAGAAGAGTACCGACGAGCTCACCTCCTGTGTAAGCTCGTAACGAAATCCGGGCTTTATGGGCCTGGGAGCATACACAGCTTTATACATCAGCAGTTGCTTTATGATACCCCGTGTATCTTTAATAGAATAACATGGTTTTACTTTGCTTTTCCACTCATACCTCCTAGATGGGCTGTTTGTGAAACATGTAGAGTGCTTTGAGGCGTATTTTGATATTATTAGTAGGTGGAGGGGGGGTTGTAGCGTATTAGAGACGCAATTTCTGTTTCAAAGCTTCACCTTCTGTTCTCTAGTCACCACCTTCTTGAGGGAGTTTCAAGCTGGTTCTGGAGTACCATACCGGCTCCCGCTGACGTGATTTGCAGCTCAGCCGTTGCCTTCTGACTGCGGTGCTGCTTTTTCTCCGTAGGTGAGACAGCTCTTCATCTTGGGTGAGGCTGCACAGCTCTGCCCAGCCAAAGTGGAGAAACGCATCTTTCTTTTGGTTCAGTCCATTCTGGCTTCTTCTGTCAACGAGGACCAATGTGAGGCTCTCTCCGTACCGCCTTTAATTTTGTATTTACAGACAACACTGTTTACCAAAAAAGCATGTTGTCATCCCCAACCTGTTATTTTCTAGTGTATAGTTCTCCAGATGGTGAGGAAATTCCAGCTTCCCAGCCCCTGTCCCAGTTCAGAGGATCAGCCATGCCTCCACTGGTCAGAGCTCATGCAGTCATTACTCTGGGTAAGTGCCACCCTACAGCAATGCCCTCCTGTATCCAGCTCCTGCCCTTCCTGGTTCGAGTCCTGCCCGAAAGTTGGAACGGATAGCCGCTGTGCTCCATGTTTGCATTGCCCGTAGCTTTGAGCAGTGCAAATATCCATGGTGACAAGTTGCACAAACCATAAAAACCCTGCCATCTATGCGACTGCTTCTCGAGTGATCGATAATTAGCAGCTCTCTTCAGAGCTGTGTGTCCTTGAGTCGGTTGCTGTTTGGCTCAAGGATTATCTTACATGTAGTAAGGGGCTCGGTGGATGAAGAGAACTCGGTGCCTTTGCAGCGTAGAGCAGAACGGCTGCACGCAGTTACTCGTTCTCCTCCGCCGGAACCAAGAGCTGCCGGGGGGGAA